TGGGATGAAATGCTCAATTATTTGAGCGATGCGTTCAATGATTTGGGCGACGAGGAATGAAGAACTATTTGATCGCAGTAAGCGATATCTCATCTTAGCTTTCCCTTCCCACCAAAATTTTTCCTAGCTAAATTTCTTTGAAGTTCAGGAAAAATTTCTTGGTGAAATAATGTTGGTTGACCAGCTTAACAACAGGCACAACCAGAAGACAAATGAAATAATATGTTATATTTAAGAATGAGATGCTACTTCTCATCTGACGCATGTTGTTTGAATTCTCATTTAGAATAGTTCATATATTAATGTCATATGACATCTGATACCTTCAATTAATTTCAAAATAGAACTGCAAACTTCCGTTAGTTGTCTCTTTAGATTGTTTTATATCCAATTTTTCATCTACATAGAATACAGTGCGAACTGATATATCTCATAGCAGAAGAGCAGGGTCATCAAGTGCAATGAGAAAAAAGGCTGTAATTTGGTTTAGTTCAAAATTACAACGGATACATTTTAGAAAATAAATTGCTATACAAGCAATTTTATACTATGAAATTCCTTTGATCCACAAAATGTTGGCGGATACCGTTTATTTTAATTTTTAATTTTTTTTTTTGTATTTATGGGTTTAACCTGTATTATTTGTTTTAAATAAAATTCATTTTTTATTCTTGCCCAATGGGTTAATAGCTGGAAATCATTAGAATGAGAGGTATCAGAAAGAATTTAAATTCTCATTCCCCAATATTGCTTGCATAAATAAAATAATTGAAGAAATAATCCTAGCCCACCCTAAACCCTAAAATGATATGACAGAATTGTATATTTAAAAGGTTATAGCCATACGGCTGTACTTTCTAAATACATTCGGATATTTTAAAAGCATAGCCGTCCGGCTATACTCTTTAAATATTAATATATTCGAATATTTTAAGAATATCGCCGATCGGCTATACTCTTAAAATATAATCCAAACGGACACGAAGCTTGCACTCGTAGAGACGGAGGTTGCAGACGTAGTCACAGCCATTTCGCTTCTCTATCAACTCAGGCTTCAATTTTCAATTTCGACTGCTTCGTCCTCCGGGTTCAACACCGAAAAAAGCCCCAACCCGGGAGGCCCGCCCAGCCGCCTAGCGCCCGCCTAGCCACCTAGCCGCCCGCCTAGGCTGATTTTCCGAACACTGCTATTGACTGAAAGTCTGAAACCCGAAATTGAAGAAGTTTAGCTGCAAATTTGAGCTTGAGATTGAGATTGGGAAGCCGAAGCAAGCACAATTCAGGTCCATAGAAGAAGAGATCATGAGACTCTTAATTCATCTAATTCCATTCCTCTCCCTGTTTCCCGCCTTATTCTCTTCTCTCTTGGCTCTCTCCCAAACGACATGCTCACCTCACCACACCAACGACAACGACGACAATTCCTCCCTTTGCCAACTCCACCTTATTATCTTCTCTCTTCGCATTGACGGCATGACGCAGAAGAAAAAAATCCAAAATTTGCTGACTTGGTGTCTGTCTTCAGTGGAAGGAAATGATGAATCTATCCTATCATGGAGTTTCTATGGTCTTGCCAATAACAAGGTTCGGTTTTTAGGCCCCAATCTCAAATTCTGACTATTTATTTCTGTTTTGGTTAAGCAATAGATTGATTGGTTTGGTTCTTCTTGCTTGAAACTTGATAAATCTTTATGCATTCAATATTCATCCATTGATGGTTCTTCTTGGTTGGACTGCTTTTCATTCTTTGGATATTGCATTTCTGTTATAAATTTTTACACTTGATCATGCCCTCTTGTTTGCTGAGAGAAAAAAAGAAGAAGAAAGATTTGTCTCCTCCTCCTGTTGCGTAGGAACCCAAAACCAACCCACCAACGACCAGAAAAAAAAAAAAAAACATTGAAATATTACACCACCTCAAGTGAAATATATCGAAATATTACACCACCTCAAGTGAAAAATCTAATTCATTTAAGCTTTTATATTTGTTCTTGTATCAGCATCTGTGTTTCTGTTGTGTAAACTCCACCTCAACTCCAAAGAAAACAAATAAAAAAATTAGAGGGTGCATATTTAACTTTTCAAACTGACTTCAAAAGCACCAGATTAACACACCAACATGAAATATCATTTATCGGGCCTCCATGAGTGTAAAAGGACTGTGACTTCATTATCTGAAAATGCTTTAGAAGAAGGATCGACTTCGAGTTCATTGAGATCCCTTTCACTATAAAAACCAGGATTTTGAGGTTGAGGCAATGACCCTTCAATTTTGAAGGATAGCAAAGATTATTCAGCAAACATCTCCAATTTTGAAGGATTCAAAAGGTGACAAATATTTTAATCTGATCTCTTAACAATTTGTGTCTAATAATGGCTAATATGCCGATAGAGAAACATAGATAGAGGTGTGCATATCACTGTGCTGGTTGTAACAGTTGGCTAATATGTACCTACCGGAACAATGAATATGTCTGTTTTCTAACGGTCCAGCATTCAGTCCCATATAGCATGGCTGGTCTAACAGATGTTCTATAAACTTAGCTTTCAATTCTAGCAAAATATGATGATCACACTAAATATATGCTTAACAAAACCATCCATTTAACCTATCGTGCTTTGATTCTATGAGCCACATCATCTCCATTCTCCCCTTGTATATATGGATGATTGAGTACATGCTAGATAGTGAAAGTTTTTGCATTTTGATATAGTCTTAGTGGTGCAATTGGTTGCTCTTATGTCTTCGTCAGAACCAAAGGCTCCACTTGGTTAGCAGAATTCAAAGAAACATGGTTCCAGTGACCATCTTGGAGAGAGAGAGGGAGAGAGGCGTTTTAAGGGTGTGCGCTTGTTCATTCGTCTCCTTTTCTCATTTAGGTGGTGAGTAGATCATCATTGCAGGGATACAGCAAGTGCCCTTCTGCCCCCCTTTAAATACCTGATTTTTGGGCTCTTCCTTTTCCTCTCTCTCTATCTCTATCTCTCTAGAATCCCCCCACCCTCTTTTTTATTTTATTTCTATTATTTATTCAGTTAATTTTAGTGACGAAAACCCAGCAACCTTTATTTAATTCGGTGCTTGATTAATTATAGTTATTAATCATGTATTATTTTGTTTTTTGTTTTTTTTAAATTGTAAAAGCTGCGGTGGCATGGGGAGCTGGAAAGCCTTTGGTGATAGAGGAAGTGAATGTGAATCCGCCTCAGGCATTGGAGATAAGGATCAAAGTCGCCTGCACCTCTCTCTGTCGCAGTGACATCACTGCCTGGGAGTCTCAGGTACTCTCCTCTTCTTATTTTGTCCTCCTCTTTTCTCCCTTTCTTTTCTTCTTCTTTTCAACACAAATAGAGATAAAACAATATTACTTTTCCTTCAATTCTTTTTTTCTTGTTTCCTACTTACTGAACATCTAGGAAAATAATCATTATCTGGCTAGGAAAATTCGTTTAACTATTACGTATGGTTTATGTCTGACCAAGAAAAATTAAAACTTTGTTTGTGCCACTGCCAGATATGCTTTCTTCTTTCCGGATGGATTAATTTTCTTGCAAAACAATTGTTCAAGATTAGTCATTAAAGTAACTGAGAAGAAGTAAACCTTGGTTTAAAGTAATGAACTTATCCATGAATTAATATCCTGTTTAAATTTTTCGAAATTCAGACCTATCAGGAGCTAAGTATCAACTGACTATTAATCTAACTGAAAAAAGTTATCTATGTATGTTGATACCAAAAATATGATTATTTATGGATACCCCTTGATGGTTACT